CAGGCAGGCGGCAGGGACCCAGCCGCCACACAGATGGGGACACGCCGGCCCGACGCCTCCTGCTCCGCCGGGGCACCGTGCCGAGCTGCCCGCGGCGGCAGCACTGGGGACAGGGGGTCCTCCCCATCGCCCGCTGCCTCCCAGGTCCCTGGGCACCACAGGGTGCCAGGAGGGGTTGGGGTGGCCCTAAATACCCCCATGTGGGTGTGGTGGGGGCTCTGGACACTCCCATCACCCGTGTTCTGCATGCACAGCTGGCCTTTGCATGTACACACACATCTGGGGCACTGCAGAGGTGCCCCCACCCTTGCACGCACACATGATGTGGCATCAGGGGGTGTCCCACTCCTGCATCCACCCTTGCACAAGCCTGGGGACACTGCGGCGGTGCCTCTCCCTTGCATACTCACACACGCACCCACACACGGCCAGGGCATGGTGGTTTTCCTCCCTTGCACACACACATCTGGGGCACAGTGGAGGTGCGCTCCCTTGCACGCACAAGCACACACCTGGGGCACCGGGGAGGTGCCTCCCTTGTACCCACCCTCTGCTGCTGGCCACTCTGCACCCCGTCCCTCGCACGCTCCCGCCCCCCCCTTGCACGCTGACATGCACCCGGCCCCCCACCCCGTGAGTCCCCCCAGAGCCCGTCCTGCGCCTGCTGACACCAATGGAAAATCCCCTCCAGTGACAGCTTTCTGGCAGGCGCTTGCCGAGGGTTTCCGTGTTCCCCAGCCAGCCCCCCCAGCCACCTTCTCTCTGCACCATGGGGGGGGTCGGGCAGGCAGGAGGACCCCCTGCCTTCGCCCCTGCCACGCCAACCTCTGTGTCCCCCTTGCCTCAGCATCACGACCCCCACCCGAAAGCACGAAGGTCCCGCTCCCTCCTCTTCCTCCCCTCGCCTCATCGCCCCGCCTGCATCCCACGCACCGGGCATCCCCTGCCACAGCCCTGCCCGCCTCCAGAAGGGGAGCATCCATCACCACTGGGGTGTTTTGGGATCCCACCTAGAAACCCTCCT